TCCCATTCACACACATTTATATGACCAGATGAAGCAGCGGGAGCAGCTTGGGTTCAAATGTTTTGCCCAAGGACACATCGGGCATGTTGCTGCAGGCGGGCATGTTGCTGCAGGAGCTGGGGATCAAACCCCCAACCGTCCAGTTGAGACGACAGACTCTACCAACTGAGCCACAGCCGCCTGTGTCGTCTTGTGTTTTAAAGATATATTTGAGGTTTCTACCTCTGAAGAGGACGTTTTTCCTTGCCACTGTAACGTTGCTAAATGTTGCTTAGTGCTCATGATGGATTAACGTTAAGTCTTTGTGGATAATGTAACGATGGTTAAGGTATTTTACCTGCTCTTTTGAGTCTTGCAGTAACATTTGTTATGACTTGGTGCCGTATAAATACATATTGATTAGTTGATGAATGTCTGCCATTGTAGTATTACTCTCCATTATTTCTTCATTTCCACAGCATAATGAAAAAGTCACACCAATGTCAACAACTTCTCTTCTTTGTATTTTATTCTGATCCATCATTAGGCAAACAGACATCAGTAAAGCAGACAGACCTAGTGTATGTTCCGTCACTATAAATTAAGATTCAAAGCAGGACATTTCATTGTAAAATTCAATATCACCTGGAAATCACTGCAGTAGTAATGTAAAAACAAACTGGGAGAATCTGCCATATCTGCACATATCTATAGAAAACTCAAGTTAGAGAGTTAAACCTGGATCACTTCATTTACACAAACCATTTATTTTTTAAAAGTATTCAATAAAATAAAGCACACCACCAGACAACTTTGTAGGGAACCAGACAAATCAAAATGTAGGGAAAGTCCAAAACCCTATTTTTTCCGCAATCCCTTTAATGCCACAATCATACCAATATATAGAGAAAAAAAAAAAAACTTTTGATGACTCCAGTTTTAGAAGCTTCAAAAGGGAAACGATGCATTATATCAAAATGTGCTGAAAGTTACTCCTGATTAGACCGCAAGAAGCACAGGTCTGGTGCCAGAGGATAAAAAACAAACAGGAGGAAATCCCTTTTTCATTTTTTTGTTTACTACATCTTTGGCTTCTAGATGTTGGACTGGTCCAGGTTCACTTTGGAAGGTAGTGGCCCGGCCTCTTCCTCTGGCCCTTTGGAGGTGATGATCAGCAGGGAGGATGCTGGGTAGGGGATCAGTTTCTCTTCCTTTGTGAACTCTTTGTCTCCATAGATGCTCAATTTCTGAAAGATTAAAACAATAACACTGTTAAAACATGTTTTACATGATCAATATTTAAGGTACTCAAAAGTAAAGTTTGAAGTCTTGCATTTAACTTCTATTTGCATGCAGAACTTCTGCATATCCAGCACTCTGCATCTGACATTAAAAGTGTTCAGCTCTGGTCTTTAGCCTGAGAACTCTGCAGTGACAAACACACATTTTATTTTTTAGAACGTCCTTATTTCACGTCCTACATGTTGAAACGCCACAGGCATCAAGCCCTGTGATTGGCCTGCTGGTGGCATCGCATTTCTATCATTTATCCATCATAGTAAAAATTAAAAGGAAGAAAACTGGAACCATATTTATCAGCTTCACATTATACACTCTGTTTCATTTGTCATGGTTTCCTGTACCCAAACAGAAGAGAATGAATTTAAACTAAAAACTTGAATATCAATAAAGGACTGTCTTATCTTATGTTGTCGATCAGGAAACTGGCGCACTACCAAGTATTGTAAAGCTATGAAGACACATGACACACTAGTATGTAGTGCTCAAGATGGTGTAGGCCACTACAGTGTGGCTGTGTAGCTGCAGAGTCGACAAAGAAGTATAAACCAGGATTTTCTGATCCTGGACAGAAAAGGGTCCGGGACAACCTCATAAAATGACAAATCTAAAACTACAGCATCCTGACATTTCACCCGACAAACATTTAAATGCCTAACTTGCGTTCGTTTGTTATCCAGGGCTTCAGGAAATGTCTTTAAAAAAAGCAAAAGACAACACAGCACTTACCTCAACAGGTACATACTGGTCTACGGCTGTTGCCACGGTGGCACAGCAGATCCAGATCAGGACCAGCACAGACAGGATCAGGGTAGTGGTAAGTATCCACCCTGGTAGCCATGAGTTCCTGAGGAAGCCAGAATAAATATTTAGCTTTGGTGGGAGCAGATACCTGTTGCTGTAAAGATCATACTCTCCTCAGCAAGTTAAACACTTTCATACTGTAGGTTGACACGGTCGAGAAATGTTTGCTAACCAACCTTGAAAGGCAACCGAAAAGCTTGTACTCATCATCGTAGCTGCGCTCCCCGCTCAAATCTCTGTCCCTCTCCTGGATGAAAGAGCGCTGGTATTCTTTGTAAACTGGACTGCCAAACCGGGGACTTGAAGTAAGAGGGGGAAAAAAAAAAAATGATTCAACAACAAATCTAATTCTTTTATCACCCATGTTGTCTTAATGTCCTAAAACTAACATTTTCTCAAGCCTTCACTTTATACTCTACATGATTTGTTTCCATTTTCACATAAGCAACCAAGTACACCACTGTGACTGTCTGACCGTAATGATGACGATGGTTTTGATATTGATGATGATGGTAATGACGATGGTTTTGTTCGACAGCGACGATTGTAAGATGGTTTCTATACTGATTAGAGCTCTCAAGAACAGCCGTCAGTGTTGTGCTTTGCCTCTGTGTAATGCCTGTCAGCACCTGTGTGTCCAATCAGACTCAAAGCTGATCGTTTGCTCTTACTGACATTGTTCCCTTTTTTCTAGATCCTTGCTTGTGTTGTTCTTCCTCTCTGATGTGCGTCGCTTTGGATAAAAGCGTCTGCTAAGTGAATTGTAGAATATCCTGTCAACTCTCTTAATGACGGTTGGCCTTTCAATTCTCCTTCTCCAAACTTTACACTTAAGTTGTCAGAAGAACCGACGTTGTGAAGTTTTAACTCATCAAGCTGGGGGCCAAATGCTTTCTCTGAAGATGTCAACCAGTAGAGCTGGTTGAATGACTGAAAAAAAAAGGTTTTATCCCATGCTCATGTTAGTTAAGAAGCATGTCATTCAATGCAACCATGTGGATCCTTTGTGTAGTTTGGGAAATCAAAAGTGGTCTATGACACTGAGGATTGAAAAAATCCTCAATTTTCTTTATACAAAATGTGACTTTTTAAAGGGGTTGGGGGTTCCTCGAGAATATTACAAACATCACACGTTAAATGGATCTTAAGAGAACGCGTGTTCGTCTTACAGCTTTTCTCCGGCTCTTCTTTGACTTCTTCGTCCACATAAAACAGGGAGAAAAACTTGACTTGTGGCTCAGACTGTGAATCCAAAAAGACAGAACAGGATTGTCAACAATGTCCTCCACCTCCACACAACGAGCTCTTTTGTTTTGTTTTTCATACAGAGTATCAAACGGCTTTTTTTTTTTTCCCTCCTACTGAGCAACACCACCTGGAAAATGACGATTTTGCCATCATCCGCCTGGAGGTAAAACGTCCACGTGGAGGTTATAAAGCTGTGGGCCTGACTCATTATGTCGCCCCAAATCCCTCTGACAAGACTTAGAGGGTACAGCAGGTGAATCCTTGGCATCATGGCCTCCAACTGGAAAACAAAACAAGCAATCCTAAGCACGCTGTTCTTTTTAAAAAAATTATTATTATTCGTATTAACACAGACTGGAGAGAGACATACCTGCTCATTTCGTCTCTCGGCAAATGGAAGCTGATTCTGACAGCCCAGGTTGCATGCATACTGCTCATCAGTCTGGGAGTAGGCCTCACGACAGGCTGGTGGTGAGAGTTAAGATGAGAGAGCAATATCAGGATAACAAACAAGGGACAAAGAAGTCTTCACAGCGAGCCCTGCCTATAATGGATGGGGTGTGTAAACATGATGATTATATATATATGCAAAAAGCGCTGATGTAATGCCTGAATTGATTTGGCATAGACAAGTTGAAGACGTGGACTAAGTGCATGACTTACTTGATTCACACTCGGATTTGGTCTGATTCAGATCGTCACTGTCACGGACAAACTGACAAATGGAGAAGAGACGGCAGCCTCTCTGACAGGCGTACAGCTCGTCCTCCTGCAGAAAAAACAACAACCCACAGGGACCAGTTGAATGCAACCCCGTGGACAGTACGCACTTTCAACTTTCACACATTTGTCATCCTTTTATTCGACAAGGCGAATGTCACAGGTTGACTTCACTTCCCTAAAAAAAAAAAAAAAACTGGGCAGCAAAAGGCCAGCAGACATGACTTTTCCTGATAGAGGTAAGTACTCACCGACGGATACGTGTGCAGACTGTACGTCATTTCACACGACTTGTGACAGGACGCTGTGTTTCCCAGCACGCTGTTGAACACCTCCGACGACGCCAGTGTGCGCGACAGCAGGGCGAGCTGTGCTAAAACACGGACAAAGAAAGAAAGAGTCCCCATTTTGCCTGCGAAAAATCTAAACAAACAACAACACGCTCTTCTTCTTCTTCTTCTTCCTCCTTAAACGGTTCGTGAGTCTCGCGGGAACTTAAGCGCTCGCGAGAGTGGTGATGAATATCTCGTGATGTTCATGGACTCCTCGTAAATGCCTCAATTCTTCTGAAAGGGGAGGAGATATCAGATTGTGCAGATGTACAGGAAAATTAGCAGTGCAAAAAGTATGTTTTTTTGTTGTTGTTTTTTTTTTTTAGCTTTTATCTTATAACATGGCCCCTTTAAAAAACAGTTTTGTCAGATCTAGAAGGGACATCCTGTGCCAATGTAAGCGTAACATATATAACTTTGCTTTGTGTTACTTACTTGTCCAGTCAATGTTGTACTTTCATACTTATCATTTCCAGCAGCAGTAATTTTCTTGATTGTCAATTAAAGATAAAAAAAAAAGATCAATAACATTTATCATTATCTTTATCTTTAAAGAGGTAATCAACATTGGACACAAATAAAATAAAAGTGACAAACATAAACCCAAATTACTGCATGTGATCATACACTTCTTACAGGGGTTCAGAAACTTGTCAGCTCGCGAGCCCCAAAATAAGGTGACCCCAGACTGGGACCCTCCCGCTGTCCCTGGAGATGGTAAAAGCACATTTTTGTGCACAGCTGCGCGCACACACTCTTGTGGGCCCACCAAACACTGGCAACACAAGAGAACAATCCAATACAGCCGCCCCACAACTCCAATACTTTGCATTTCCATGTGTTCATAGCAGCAGACACCTATAATGTCGCTGTCATGCTTTTGTCCAGATATGTGTTTTACTTAAGGTCTGCAAAACCAAGGTTCCCCTTCATTTCCACTGTTCTTTAGCCTTGCAATGTGAGAATACCAATTATGAAACTGCAATATCCAAAAAAAATCGCCTTGTAGTTTAGTTTTCTGTTTTTTTTATTCATATAATTACGAAAGGTAAGTTGTTAGATTTTTACAACATACTTCCATACCTTGTTGTTACGTTTGACCGTCCAAACAAGGGTATTCGCTGTCATTTCCGACAGCACGTAAAGGCACCCGTAGACGCTTCTATTTACCATCCACATCCAGTTGCAGCTAGCTTCACCAAACAGACTTTTGTCGTAGTTGCGTTTATGATATGAAAGGGGAATTTTGGATTAGTCCAGAATCTACGAATCCGTCGGGCCAAACCAGCCATGCATTTCAAATAAGCTCTTTGATTTCAGACATGTAAAAGAATTAACAACGCAAGGTAAATATCAGGAAGCTAACAGGTAGCAGCTGGACACAGGTAGGTTATAGGTTTTTTAAACCTCACTAGTTGTGTGAGAATGGACAAGTTCGTAGTCAGGCTGTCAAAGGGGGAATCACCGAAAAAAGCAAAAAGCAACGAAAAGGTCTACAAACAAACTACTATTGAGTCTTTACGGGTGAGCATACAATTACTGATTTGTCAAAGTCTCTGTTAACTGTGCCACATATTTACATCACTCATTGCCCTTGTGTGTTTCCTACAGAGGGTTGTTGTTATTGAGGATATCATGCGCTGTAAGTCCATGTTGGAGCTGCCTGAGCAGAACAAAGACAACCTGCTGACAGCCCTGACAGAGCTGAGCAAGAAGATCCCATCCAAGGAGGTGCTCAAGTCCACCAAGATAGGTAGACCAAGGAAACCAGCGACACTTATCACAATGCACTCCTGATGGGAAAAGCACAAACATGTGTATCTTTCTGCTTAGGACATGGCACACACTGGAGAGTACGGTGGCCCTGAAGTGCAAAACACAACGACAAATCAAAAAACACAACAACAAATAAGAAAACACAACAACAAATCACAAAACACAACAACAAATAAGAAAACACAACAACAAATCAAAAAACACAACAACAAATAAGAAAACACAACAACAAATTACAAAACACAACGAAAAATAAGAAAACACAACAACAAATCAAAAAACACAACAACAAATAAGAAAACACAACAACAAATAAGAAAACACAACAACAAATTACAAAACACAACGACAAATAAGAAAACACAACAACAAATAAGAAAACACAACAACAAATTACAAAACACAACGACAAATAAGAAAACACAACAACAAATCAAAAAACACAACAACAAATAAGAAAACACAACAACAAATTACAAAACACAACGACAAATAAGAAAACACAACAACAAATCAAAAAACACAACAACAAATAAGAAAACACAACAACAAATTACAAAACACAACGACAAATCAAAAAACACAACGACAAATAAGAAAACACAACAAATAAGAAAACACAACAACCAATTTAAAACACAACGACAAAACAAAAAACACAACAACAAATAAGAAAACACCACGACATTAACTTTAGTTGTGTTTTGTGATTTGTTGTTGTGTTATCTTATTTGTTGTTGTGTTTTCTTATTTGTTGTTGTGTTTTTTGATTTGTTGTTGTGTTATCTTATTTGTTGTTGTGTTTTATGATTTGTTGTGTTTTCTTATTTGTTGATGTGTTATCTTATTTGTTGTTGTGTTTTTTGATTTGTTGTTGTGTTATCTTATTTGTTGTTGTGTTTTGTGATTTGTTGTTGTGTTTTCTTATTTGTTGATGTGTTTTGCACTTCAGGGCCGCCGTAGTAGAGCATTGAAGTCTATTTAAACTTGATGAAATGAACATACTGTTTGGTTACAAGTCCTGAGTTAGCTTTCACATTAGTCAGAATTCAACATGTCACAAAAGTCAGAATTTATCGCAATAGAAATAAAAGAGTAAACAAGAATTGCTTTGTAATTTAGCATTGATTAATTTTACCAATTCAATTCAGCCTGGAGTTTAATGGATAGGCGATGAAGTCTATTGATGCTGGCGGATGAAGCTCAAGCTCTTAGTGCAATTAATATCGCATATCCTGCAGGCCAAATAAATAGAGTTAAATAAGTTTTTCATTTCAAGGTGTGGAAAATAAAATAAATCAAATTACACAACTGCTTGACAACTCAAAGAAACAAACAGCTGCTGTATCACTGTTGTATTTTTCTAATTTGTTCTTGTTGGACCCTTTGTTAAATTCCCACTGCACTAATTAGTTCAACCCATGATGAAAACCTCTACCTCTCTCTCTCCTCTCAGGTCACACGGTCAACAAAATGCGAAAGCATCCGGACCCTGAGGTGTCTTCATTTGCAGCAAAAGTTTACACAGACTGGAGGACATTCATTGAGGAGAATTCCAATAAGCCGTCTATTGAGGTGCGCTCCGACAAACAATCTGAAGGACTCCGGAGCAACGCAAGAAGACTGATGTCTGAAGCTCTGGAGGTCAAGGTAAGAAAGAGCGTCTCAGTATAGTTATATTCATTCCACCTCTCATTTACGTTTAACCTTACGTCTACATTACACTGGTTGTGATCTTTTTAGATTATAAAGGAATGGAAACGCTACAGTGTGTGGTCAAACACCTAGCTCCAGTCAAAATTGTTATCAGTGAATGGCATCAGAGATATAACCCATTGCAATGTTGTGGATTTAAAGACATTTACCAAATCGATAGAATCTGCTAAAACGCAACACACTTAATCCATGCAGCAAGCAGCACCTTAATGTTTTAATAGATTTATATACATTTGTCAACTAACACTAGCTTCTCCACCTTGTTCCTACATAAGAAAACAGCAACATGGCTGCAAGGACATTGAAATCTCCTTATCTATCGATCTGCTAATGAAGACGTTTCCCTTCTATCTTTGTCCAACCTTCAGGAAGAATCTGGACTTATAGACAACATCGAGAGGGAAGTGTTTCATCAGAGCTCCCGGTTGGTCAGCAGCTCATACAGGCGGACTATTCGAGCACTGGTGTTTGCCTTCAAACACAACCCTGAAATCAGAAGTCAAGTGAAGGACAACACACTAACAGTCAACCAGCTGGTGTCCAAATACAAGAAATAGCTGATAATGAAACAGTCCGAGCCTCAAACGACACAAAGAAGACCATGTTTTACTTGAAAAGTTCAGTTTTTTTTTTTTTTATTCAAAACAGGTTTTTTTAAAACTTTTTTTAAAATTCTCACTTAAAATATAAAGAAAATATAAAATATATTTACAATTGATGGCACATCAGAAAGTTAACACTGTTTTTAAACATGCATGTTAATCGAGCTCACTAGTATGAAAAAAAAAGTTGATGTGGATTATAATGCCATTCTTTGGAACTTGAATCATGAACTTTTTAGTTCTTGTAAAAAGTCTTTTATATTGTTGGTGAACATTTTTATACAAAATATGACAAATTCAGTGTTGAAGTCCTTTTTTTTGTTGTTGATACAACCATATTATGTGAAGAGGGTACTACAGCAGCACCAGCCAGATTATGGCAATCACCATGAGAATCACAGCTAGAACACAGATGCTAATGAAGACGATGTCGCTCAGGTCATGAGGCTCAGCTTTAGGACCCTCTGTGTCACTATTATCGACACTGTCAGTTTGCTGGTTCTGCTCCTCCAGACGACGCTCCTCTGCTGAAATGATGGACACCGATGCTATCTTCCGCAGGGCATCACACTTCACCTTATATTCCTGCACATTCTGCCGCTTCCCATCCGAGAAATCGATGTAGAGTTTGTTTACCAGCATGGTGATGTTCCCATGTTTCTGTAAAGGGAAAAGGAGTTTCAGGCAGATTAACAAATCCATTTAATGGCTAAAGCTTGGTTGCACCAGTAAGGAACATGATACCGCGGCTCCTCACCTGGCTGGCAGTACCACAGTTGACAAACTGGGTGAGTATCTTGTAAGAGGTGGCTGTCAGCTGGGCCGCACAGGTTGGGTTCCCCAGGTAGATCCTCTCGCGCTCCAGCTGAGGTAAGGACTGCTGCGGTATCAGAATGGTGAATTCTGATCTAGTGCAGCTAACATTGACAGGAACCACTTAGAATGCAGGGAAGGGAAAAAAACAACAACTCACTGTTAGATTTGAATAGTTGTAAAAAAAAGGAATGACAAGGAAAATGCTATTCTGTGGAAGTATTTACTCCAGAAAAAGTTTACTATGTTGTGATAAAATCTGAGCATCAAGCCTTTTAAAAAAACTTAACAGGCAGAAATGGGCTTCCAAGAGACGCCTTCTTAAAAAATGTACCTCCGAGATAAGAAGCAGTGAAGCCTCTATGAGCTACATTTCGGTCCGTGCTGAGCACCACCAGCAACTTGTTGCTCTTTGAGACCAGAGAGGGAGGCTTCTCTCTGCCGCACCAGCGCCCCAGCAGTGTGTCTGTCTGACTGTCCCCGTCGTAAACTGCGATGGAGTCGTAGTCGCACTCGTCCGACAGACTGTTGCGGTCCTCCAGGTCCATGATGGGGAAGAAGAGTTTGATGCGGTATCCGGCTGCTAGAGTGATGCTCCAGTGGCAGTTGATGTTGTTTGGGTAGATGTTTGGAAAATGGGGGCTGCTGAAGTCGCCACTTACAGCTGACAGAAACTGCTGGCATTCACCTGGTGATTACAATTAATCAGAGAAGTTAATCAAATCACTGATCAATGATCATTTAATAAGGTAACCATAGTACAGTAAACTTGAATAACAAGGTTGTCCTTCTTTATTTCTTTTTGCAATTTATGTTTGGGCTTTTCATGCCTTTATTGAGATATAGAACAATGCATAGAGTTGTAAACCGGGGGGGATATGGTGGGGAATTTAGCCACAGGTCCAACCAGGGTCGCCGGCCTTGAGGAAAACAGCCTCAAGGCTGGATGAATGCTTGGAAAACAAACCACCAGACCACCGACACCCTAATTGTTATCTCTTTTGGTTGTGTGCTACAGTCCTTAGTGTGTTAGCTTAGCCTAGCGCACTGACTGGAAATTTTCTAGCCTGGTCAAGACACAAGGTAAATACACATACAGACAGACAAAACATCATCAACATTATAAAAGACAACTGTACCAGTGTCGCCACAAGGATGACTGGTATCGTACAGAACTATGACTGGGATTAGTCAACAGCATGATGATGGAATGCTGAGAATCCTTCAATCAGCAGATACATTTGTACATTAAGTTTCTCATAAGTGTTAACTTTACAAAACATTACAAAATAACTCACTTGCACTAGTCCATCAAGGTTTTTTAAACAGTATTCTCAGGGAGTCATTATATGCAACTTTAAGCTTTTGTAAGCTTGCCTTTTTAAATTCAGTAGTTTATGACTCATTGTCCTTCTGCAACTACTGTACATTTAAGGATTTGTAATCTTCTTGGTTAGACAAAGTCAAACGAGGACAGTCTGCACTCAGCTGCCTAAAAAGTTATCCAGCAGTGTTTAACTTTAAATCAAGTCCAGGAGTTGGCTAGACCACTCAAGGACTTTCACTTTGCAGACTTTTGTCTTATTTGTGGGGGGGCTGGTGTGAGACGGGGAATGAGCTCTGTTCTGCTCCGAGATAGCGATCCACTTTGAAGCAGAAGTGTTCAATTTTCTTTTCATCAGATGACAGCGTCTTTTGTGTCATGTTCTAGATCTTTCATGTGCCTTTGTTTCAGACTCTCAGTGTTAGATAATATGTTCTTTTTCTTCTTGCCACTAACATCATCTGAATCATTGATTTCATTGTTTTCTCTTGTCCAACTCAGCCTAACTCAGTTTTTGTCAACATTTCTATGGCCTTTAGCAAATATATATCTCTACAGTGCACTTTGGATTTCATGGTAGCTTTTCTCTTCTGAATGGCATATGAATAGGATTTTTGTAAACAAAGGTTGTTTTATGTAATTCCTGACAATGCTGCAATATGTGACATTGATGGTTTGTTAAATCTTTCTTGCAGTTACAGAGAACAACATGTTGAGGTAGTCTGAAAATAACTTAATATAATGCACTGTTAGAAATTGTCAAGTGATTGAATAGGCCAAAATATCCTACCAGAGTAATAGTAGGCCTTGAACCCACGTCCACCAATGTTGAAGTCCGACTTGAAGACCACCAGAAGCTGGTTGGAGGTGGTGACGATGTTCGGGGGTTTATCTGCCCCGCAGTATTTGCCAAGGTGGCGGTGGGTGACTGTCGGGCCATCAAACAAGGCGACAAAGTCAAAATTACATCCTTCATTGTCTTCCAACTGGAAGTCCAAGAAGACCAAGGTGACCACACTGTTATTGGACACGTGGATGGCCCAGGAGCAGTCTGCATTGTTACTGTACTCCCGAGGATACCCTGGACTGGAGATGACACCGGAAAGGCCAGTCAGGACACCACCACACATATCTAGAGAGGATGGACGACAATACAAGGTTAGCATTACCATGACAACTTTTGGATTGACTGACATTCAAAAGAAGGACCCGTAACTTCAGGGATCTCTTCCTGAGTGAAAAAACTTTCTCTTGCACACACTGAGAACAACTGATTGACCTTCATGCTGTTTACTGTAGCATTTCATCAACTTTTTGATGGACTGTTCTGAATTCTTGGGACACATTCATGGTCCTCAGAGGATGTTTGAATTTAGTGTTCCCCTCACTGAGTGAAACAGCTCGGTTGCACTTTGATAAGATTGCAATGGAACATGGACTGATTTCGAAGATCATTAGACTGTGAAAATGTTTTTTTCTGTCTGTGGTTTGCTTTGAAATTTGGTACACGCATTCAATGTCCCAAGAGGATGCACAACAATGACTTGTGTGATACCCAAACTAAGGGAAATATCTTTGTAACTACTGGAGAAATTGCTTTGAAATGTAATACAGATGGCCAAGGACTCTTGAAGATGAATCCTCCAATATTTTTGCTGACTTCCTGCTTCCTCTAGCAGCACCATGAGAATTGGCATTAATGTTTTTATGCTAATGTCTCAACAAACACTGGATACATTGCTTTAAAGATCAGTACACACATTCAAATTACCCAGAGGATGATGACTATAAGTCTACATTGCCATCACATGATTGGTTCCCAAAAGGTTTAACTACTTGGCCCATGCCTCTCAATTAGCACCATTGTCAGGTCAAATGTTCATGTTGTCCTTTATTTTTTAACGTACAATAAACCTGTTAAGAACTAAAGACATTCCCATCTTCCTCGGATGTACATTTTTGTTCTTGTCAGCATGTAAACATACTAAACTCACATGATGAATGTGATCGCATGCTGATAAGAGTTTTCAGCTCCAAGCACCCATGTGCCTACTAGAGCCACTGTTTTCCTTCCTGTTTATGTATAATGTTTAGGTGAGGTCTTAGTTATCCAGTAAGATATTAGCTTGAGGCCATGAGGTACTGAACTGCCAGAAAAAATCATGTCAAGTTTGAGGTGGTTAGCTATGAGATCCCTGTCACATTGCATCTTATGACTTACCTTTTCTATAGCCAACACTGAATCCCCTCTGGGCCACATGGCGGTCTGAATGGAAGATAATCGACATGACATTCCAAGAAGAGGTAAACTGGGGCGGGGAGATGTCCCCACAAAATATCCCGAGGAGGTTCCCCTCATCCTCAGATATGCCATTGTAGATCTTGATGTAGTCGTAAGCGCAGTTGGCATGGTACTCCAGTTCAAAGTGGTGAAAGGTAAGGAGGACAGAGGAACCCTCTGCTACGACTATTAGCCAGGAGCAGTCAATGTTGTATGGATACAGGCCTGGAAAGTTTGGACTGGAGATATTCCCAGATGGAGCAGAGAGGATCCCTCCACATTTGACACCTAATAATTGCAAGAAAAGTATTTTAATTTAAGCTCCAAGAGAAACGATACCAAGTTGTTGAGGCTCTTTCCTTTGCTTAATTATTTATGACTGTTTTTCTAGCATCCTGATACAACCTCTGAAAGTAAATTACTGACTTTGAGGGATTGATATCAAGATCTCTTTACCTTAAAGATTAACTGCCCCCATCAAATTTAAGTTTTGCGGCATCAAAATAACAAATAGCCACTCACCTTTTTTAGAACCAGCCTTGTCAACAAGCAGGAGTAAATGAACCAGTATAGCCACCCAGAGATTCATGTTGTTCTTGTTGATTCAGCTTCTGTCACACCTCAGCTACAATACATGCAGAGGTAGAGAACGGCAGTGTCAGAGCGCACAGCCTTGAGACATCAGCAGCAGTGCCTGCAGAGGTAATAGGACTTTGAAAAATTCATTCACGGCCTTAATGAGGAACCTGATACATACCCAGGACATGCTTTGCCCTCTTCGCTAAATTTTAATGACTGATATCCAATGAGCAGGGGTGGCTTGTCAGGACACTGTTTGGAAAGACGCTATACATTTTTAATGATGGTCAAATAGACACACGCTGAGCAGCAGCTGTGAGTGGGGTTGATAAAAGAGACAGGAAGAAAGAGAGAAAGATCACATTTGTCAGTAATATAAATGGCTTCATTACAGCGATCTGAGGGAGTATAGAGCCAGAACTATTGATGTCTTACAGTGAGGGGCAATGCAGACTTTTTTTTTTTTTTTTACAAATTAGCCACGGCTAGAAACCTGTATCAGGGAATCTACTTGGTATTTTACACATGAAGCAGTGTTCATTGCATGTGTCCCTCTTTAAAAAAAGGAAAAAAGTATTATATCATATTGTAAAGTATTGTATTGTATCGTATAAGCCCAACATTTTCTTCTGCTAACTGACAGGGGTTTGGGAGCTGTGTTACTCCAGGTACCTCAGGATGATCAACATCCAGTTGCCTACATCAGCTGGTAACTGTTCCCCAGAGAAGTTTGGTATTCGACGTTGGGATGGAGGCACTGGCTATCAAGTGAACCCTTGATTCCTTCCGATACTATCTTCTTGGTCAAGAGTTCACCTTGGAGACGGATCACAAGGCCCGTTGGGTTTGTAAACTTGGTTTTCTATTTTTGGGTAAAATAAAAACCCACCATTTCTTTAAACATACTCCTGTGTCTTGTGCCTTACTGCTCGGTCCATAACAGTCCCCCACAAGAGAATCCTTCTCACCAGGGTAAGAGTGTTTATAAGGCACACTACAAGTGAAGGACTGTGTCTGGCCATGAAATGTTTGTCTGATTTCACCAATGGCTTTGATGATGTCACCAGTTGTAATACATCCATGGATTTCATTACCTACATTAAGATGTGGGTTCTTCTTTTTTAGGCTTTGGTAGAGAAACCATCCAGTGGTGACGAGGAAACGTACCGCGATCTCCTCACACAGAAATACGAGGGATCCGAAGGTAAACTTTTTATATGATTCTGAGAAAACTCTGTACCAATAAAAAAAAACACGGGGGAATGAAGAATCTGATCCGTCTGTGTTTCAGGATTATTGTCTGAATTGTTGCTCTGCATGGTTTTGTCGGTGTGATGTAATGGTAGTATGTGTTATGTTTTTGTCAACAGGGATATACAATGTGTTTCTACTCATAAAGGACAGGTTTTCCCACATTCCAATCCTTACATTGGCAAAGGTCGAGACAGGTATTGAAGATATTTTTGATTTTTATCACAGCCTCAATGTTGACCAAATTAAACATTAATTCCTGTTTTTGTCATTGCAGCTGTAGAAAAAAAAATTGATGTAGGATCTTTGAAAAAGGTTAGTTGAGACCCTCTTCTGTAAGTGCTATTTTTGTTTTCTGTTAAGCAGAATTTGCAGAATTTTAATCCCACCTCTCCACACACTCAGCTCCAGTCTCAAATAAAGATAGACTTCTGCTCGTCCAAGGATTATCACGAAGAGGGCTGCAGTACAGCGTTGATGTTCAGTCTGGGCCATGAAATCTACTTGGTGATCAGGGTCAGTGTATTTTACCGCCTGTAATTATGATACATTGGATAAAAGTGAGTTACTTCGTTATAACGGCGCTTGGAAAAAAAAATCACACATTTTCTACTATGCTAATGTTTGGGCGACAGTAGCTAAGTCTGTAGGGACTTTGGTTGGGAACCGGAGGGTCACCGGTTCCAAAACCGGAGGGTCGCCGGTTCCAAAACCGGTGTGGACCTACTCTGGAAATTGATCTGGTAGCTGGAGAGGTGCCGTTTCACTTCCTGAGTCTTGCCGAGGTGCGCTTGAACAAGGCACCGAAACCACCAACTGCTTGGGCACTCTTTCATGTGCAGGCCCTCACTCTAACATCTCTTCATTAGTGCATGTTGTGTGTGTATTTCAGTGTATGTAGCATGTCTCAATAATGGAGGGGAAAAGTAATTTCTCCCTATGGGATTAATAAAGGATATCTTCTTCTTCTTCTTACAATGTTTGTCTCTGACAAACATATTGTATACAGTATAAATATTCCTGAAATCAACACATGTAAGCCAAATTAATGTGTATGCCAACTGAAAGTAAAACAAAGTTTTGATAAAGGAAGAATGTGCAACATTTTACACATAAATACAGCCGAAATCAAATATATCCTCTGTAAACGTCTCTGTGAGTCATGACTGTATACAATGAGTGAGAAGCCACAGCTGTACTGTTGTCGGAGCCGTGTTCATGGAAGTAAAGCTGTTTTAGTCAAGGACTAGGGAAAAGAAGAATAACATACTCACTTCTTATTTGGATTTCAAGTAAGTGTGTTTAGATCACGGTCATTCTGTGTCAATTTATGTTCGATGTGAAGCTGAGTTAACCAAGAGTGCTAACATTAGCCTGCTGACAACAGTGCAGGCCACAGGTTATTGCAGCTCCAGCAAAGGACAATTTTGTCCACCACTTGCTCTAACTGGTGCTTAATTCTGGTGTGCTCTAATTGATAACTCCTTCATGAGAACGCAAGTGGAGAGGGGTTGGAGGTGCGCTGCTGGAGGAGAGCGGCGGGTTCAGAATAGTGGAGGTGTGGCAAAACAAATATTATGTTAAAAGAGTTAACACAATATTTGTATAGACTTGAAGTAAAACTAACTTAGAATGTTATGTTATCATGACTAGAGAATACTCTTACTAGGATCATTTTATTCTAACAAATGCTATTCCAGGAGTGCTGAAAGGCAGGGCTTTTAGAGTGAACATCTAATGGCTTCAGTGAGCAAAAAGCCAATACCTTAAGTGACCTGCTAGATGGTGCTGTTGTACTTTGACAACACAGTGAAAATCACTGGCTTTTAAAAACGTCATGCCGAGCTCTAAGCTGAAATAAATAAGAATGTGATTAAAATCAGTCAAGTGTTTTTCACACAGCCGTTCCTGGAACTAAAATGAACCGCCTTGCCTTTGAATTTTAATTCTGTCCTCTCTGAAAGCTTGTCATTGTTCAAGGATGTGGATACTGGGCAGTGCTGAAATGTGTTTCGGAAAGATATTGTTTGTTTGGAGCAATTAAATCAACTATTAGAGAGTAAATACTCAGAAAACAAATGAGGATACTACTGGAAAATTCCTTCAGGATAAACGGGAACTTCAGTTAAACAAATAGCAGGCTTTTGACCCAGGTCTTGAGGTTTAGTTTAATGAGTTTCATCCATGAAATACATAAAATTGGGTTTCGTTTTTTTTTTCCACAATTAATTTTATTCAACAGTATTAACATATCCATCATGGACACCCTGTATTAGAGGCAGATGGGATTTAGCCGGTTGGCAGGTGAGAGGAGTGACTGTAAGTGTCTCAATGTGTTTGTGCTGCTGTGGGATGGGGTACTTGACAGCTAAAGCATCTGGCATCATTTGATCCGAAAAAAAAAAAAAAAGCAAGAAGGCACAGGATGTGAATGTTGAAATTTTTAATAAAACACAATCTGCTTACAAAACATCTTTCTCCACATCAAGACAGATTATGTTCGATTCTGCTATGGGTATACCGGGGCTGTTGGTAGCCGCTCACTCTGATGAATGTTCTCTAAAGCTCCTGACAGTGAGATGAATATATAAGCATATATGTCACAGGACAATAAAAAGTTAATGCCTCTGACAGAGCCTGCGGCTTGGCAGAACATCTCTATATATTCCTAGAGCGTATGGTGTCTTGGTCAGCATGATTTGTGTTTTAATATTTTGCATGAATGGTGTATTTCTGCAGCAAAAAACCTAAGGATAACCCTGAGTAAACTTACACTGCATGTTGTATGGATGTATACACTACACCACAGTGTTTCATGCACACCTTTTCTGTTTCAGCTGGATGGATTTTTGTATCCTGTTTCAACTCTTCAGAGTTCATTTTGCACTAAAAGCTTTATCTACCAACATAGCTCTTTACTTAATGACATTCAGAGTGTTTAACATTAATCAAACTTGCATAACAGTGGTGATAATGTTTATGCAGGAGCAGACCGGTCCAACTCACTGAGTACAGGGGAAACATTGCCGCAACCTTGTACCTTGTATTCCCAGCTGGTGCTCGCTTAAAGCCAGTGATGTTGTGTGTGTGTGTGTGTGTGTGTGTGTGTGTGTGTGTGTGTGTGTGTGTGTGTGTGTGTGTGTGTGTGTGTGTGTGTGTGTGTGTGTGTGTGTGTGTGTGTGTGTGTGTGTGTGTGTGTGTGTGTGTGTCTCTCTCTCTCTCTCTCGCTCTCTCTCAGTGCTTTTTTTCCTTTTCCACTTTGCTGCATTTTCCCCTAGTCTCTCTACCAAGGACAATATTGATATGTAATGGCACCTGCAATTCTGGGAGCTCACAGATTGGATTATGGACCATAATGAGCTAAGCCTCCTTCTGTAGCTATCAGTGCACTAAAACCCATTATTTTGGTAAAGAAACAGAAAAGACAAAGAACCGACTACCCTGGCAACTGCTACGTCAATCCTTACAAAAAATGACACACAGAAACAGAAACAAATTCAACTAGTGAGCCACTGTAAAATCAGTTTGGAGGCTTAATTGCGATTTAGCCGTTTTAATTCTAACTTTTTAAAACTTTCTGTTTGGAAATATTAATTACTGTTAATAACCGTTGAAAAATACATGTCAGTTAGTCTTAAGTCATCCCAACCGGTTTTCTCCATGCATGTAGATTTTCATCGTGCCTTCCTGTGTTACCATGTGATTTCCTTTGGGGCTGTTTTTCTTTTGTTTTGAAGTATTTTTAGTTGACTTTCGATG